AGGAGCTAAAAACAGAAAAAGGGAGCGAAGAAGGTTATGACAGAGGAAGGGTAAGAGCAAGAATGTAAAGCAATGTTAAAGCACCTGCACACTGAACTGGTTTAATTACAGCAATAAAAACGTCTTCATAGTCTAGCTGCAAATCCACAGACAACACTATAATAGGGCACTTTAATAACAAGAATTCCTAATGTGCTTTAGTTATAGATTTGAATGGTCCTTTCACATAATTTACACTTTATTTTTGCTCAAAACATTTTTAAACCTCTGAAACTAGATCCAGGCAACTAAAGTGCTTCTAATAAGTTAGTTGGCAAAGGACAGACAGAATTAAATCCATAATCCCTTGTTTGCTATGAAAACCTGTATCATCATAGACTCACCAACATTACTGAAAATATAAAAGCACCTGAAAAATGATAAGTTAACATAACCGCTGTACGCAATTACTCTGAAAAAAAGAAAACTTTATTAAAACACTTTAAGGAATATAAATAGATACTGAGACAGTCTTGTTGCAGAGTAATGCCAAAACTAGTTACTAAAATAAAAAAATTCACTTGATCAATTTATAAAATTCTATCAATGTTATCAAATTCAACCAATTATCAGGAAGCAACGTGCAAAAACATTGATTCTTAGAGTCAAACAACACTGTCCTGTCAATATTCTGTCCTGCTGTGCTCAAAACACTCTTGGAACTACTAAAAAGTAGGAAGTGCTGTCAGTAGAACATTTGACATTATTTCTTTAACTTCAACCGAACTTGACTAAATACTAAAAGTGCAACTGCCTCATATGAAGTACAAACCTTTTTGTAAGAAACTATTAAATTGAAAACAACTCAAAATCCAAAAAGTGCAAAGAAGAGTGGCAATATATAAGGCTACATCCCAAAGATAAGCTTATGTATTTCAATTAACAGCAACAATTACTATCACTTATCAACCTGCTAATCCTGAACTGATTAATACCTAAAAACATTGTTTTCTTTTCCCTGCTCTTACTAAAGCTCACTGTTGTAGGCAGGAGGATGCTTTTCGCTGTAAACACCCTGCTGATCCTCAAGTAAAGACAACTTCCTAGACAAACAGAAATCACAATTCCAGCCATCTCTCAATGATCAATAACTTCTCCATCTCTCCTACAAATTGGTTCTTTAGACAACTCTTCAACCAGAAGAGCAGAAATATTTACTCTGCAGAGAAAAATAAAACAAGAAACTCACAATAAGTGGGCAGGCTAAACTGCACTACTTTGCCATCCTATTCTTGTCATATCATTTCCTTATTTGAATTTGCCTCTTCTTGAAGACTCTCAAAGGTTTCCTTCAACAATAAAAGATGAAGATTAGTACATCACTTTATAGAACTAGAACTCCTAACTAAGGATCAAGCAGTTCACCCTGGGTCAGGCATCGGAACACAAATAGAACTAACAAAACAGTCCAGCACTAGAAAATACTTGTTGCTTAACACACTGGCACCATGGCATGTCCTGTCTTACTTTATCTAGCAAGTGCTGAACACTATAATCTTCTGGTAGTAAAAATGCAGATCCCCTGATATCTCCAATAACCTCAGACTGTCAATTTCTAAACACTCATTTTCTGAGAAACACCCAATATGCCAGTTTAAACTATACAAATCACCATCATTATGGTGAAGTATTATAACCACATTCATTTTATTAATTACAATATCATTAAGATGTTTGCTTTTCAATGCAAAGTAACTTAAAAATAAAACACAGTATGTCAAGTACAATATCACAATTACAAGTCTATTAAAAAGCTTCTGATCGAACTTCGAGATACAGCTCAGACCACCACTAACTGGAAACATAGAGATTACCAATTATTTCAGGGCTTGGGCTCCTCCTTGCCCCTGCCAAGACCCCAGGTCTATTTCCAGGCATGCTATGACAAGGATGCCTTTTTCAGATTTGATTTCAATACATACTTCAATCCCAGCCAGCTAAACATAACTGAAAAGCTAGCGTGCTTGAGTGCCTACCATACTAAACCACCTAACTGGGCAAAAATTACCACCCTCCAACCATGATTTTGTTATTCCCTCCAACAATTGCTACACCTGCTCCTTATTTTATACCTTACCAGACGTGTAGAAGGCTACAGTTGTTTTCTCACCTACACTAGTTTCAAAATGTTGTATTTTGAACTGCCGCTCTAACGTAGAAGTTAGGAAGTTGCTGAGAATTAGAGGCACACGCAAAGCACAAGCCCAGCTGAAGCTGCTCTACGCAATCCCGCTCTGAGTAGCAAAGGGAGCTGAGGAGCAGTTTCAGAGAAGTTAGGAAGTTGCTGAGAATTAGACGCACACGCAAAGCACAAGGCCAGCTGAAGCTGCTCTACACAAGTCCCGCTCTGAGTAGCGAAGGGAGCTGAGGAGCAGTTTCACTACAGGCTTCTTTCAGCAGCAATTCAGAGAAGTTGCAACACCTAGGCTCTTGCAGGAGTAATTTCCTTGTAGATAAGCAGTTTAAATTACACTTTACTTAAATGCAAAGCACTTATTCTAATTTTAAAAGCCACCTTCCCCCTTGTTAGGCTAAACCCGATATTAAGATGAGGTTATGGACTGCGTGAGAAGAAGGAACGAGCCAGAGCGCTTTCACTGCCACAGAAGGGCCCCGGAGAATCACATACCAGCAGAAACGCTATGGAGCCAAATCCTGAGGGCTGGAGGTATGGGAGGCTCTTTGGAAAGCTGAAGGAACAGGAGTAGGGAGTATTCAAAATGTGTCAAATATATATGGAAGAAGGGAGAAGAAAAAAAAAAAAAAAGGAATTGTACCGCGGAGAAAGCAGTTTTAAACCACTCGTTTCACTCCGCTTTCCTAGTGGCGCCCGGGGGAGCGCGCAGGGCGGGCGCGAAGGAAACCCACGCACGGCCGAGGGCAGCGGGATGACGAGCGCGAGGCGGGGCGGCGTCGCGCGCGTAACGGCCCCGTAACGGCCGCCCGTGGGGGGAGGGGACACCCGGGGGCAGCGCCGTGACGGCCGCGCGGGCGGGGGCGGC